ATCCCTCTCACTCTCAACTGCTTGCCTGCCTGCCTTCCTGATTGCCCCCTAACCGCTTCTACCTGCCAGCCTGATCACTCCCTAACCACTCCCCTGCCAGCCTGATTGATACCTAACTGCTCCTCTGCCAGCCTGTTTGCCCCTCACTGCCCTCCCCTGCAGGCCTGGTTACCCCTAACTGCCCTCCCCTGCAGGCCTGATCCCTCTCAACTGCTCTCCCCTGCAGGCTTGGGTCATCCCCCACAACTGCCCTTCCCTGCAGGCCCAGTCACTCCCAATTTCCCTTCTCTGCTGACCTGGTCACCTCTAATTGCCCTCCCTCGCAGGCTTGATCACCCCCAACTGCCCTCTGCAGGCCTGGTCCTTCCCAACTGCCCTCCCCTGCTGGCCATCTTGTGGTGTCCATCTTGTGTTTACATGGGGGCAGCCATCTTGTGTGTTGGAGTGATGGTCAATCTGCATATTACTCTTTTTTTTTTTTTAATATAATCTTTATTGTTCAGATTATTACAGGTGTTCCTCTTTTTTCCCCCTATAGTTCCCCTCCACCTGATTAACCACCACACCCAAACCCTTACCTGCCCGCCACTGTCTTCATCCATAAGTATAAGATTTTTGTCCAATATCTTCCCGCACCCTTTGGGCTCCCTACCCCTGAGAATTGTCAGTCCACTCCCTTTCTATGTACCTGATTCTATTATATTCATCAGTTCATTCTGTTCTTCAGATTTTTTATTCACTTGATTTTTAGATTCACTTGTTGGTAGGTATGTATTTTATGTCTTTTTGTTGTTCATAGTTTTTACCTTTACCTTTTTCTTCTTCTTCCTCTTCTTAAAGAATACCCTTCAGTATTTCATGTAATCCTGGTTTGGTGTTGATGAACTCCTTTAACTTTTCTTGTCTGTGAAGCTCTTTATCTGACCTTCAATTCTGAATGATAGCTTTGCTGGGTAAAGTAATATTGGTTGTAGGTTCTTGCTGTTCATCACTTTGAATATTTTTTACCACTCCCTTCTGGCCTGCATAGTTTCTGTTGAGAAATCAGCTGACAGTCATATGGGTACTTCCTTGTAGGTAACTAACTTTTTCTCTTGCTGCTTTCAAGATTCTCTCTCTTTTGCCCTTGGCATTTTAATTATGATGTGTCTTGGTGTGGTACTCTTTGGATTCCTCTTGTTTGGGGTTCTGTGTGCATACTGGACTTGTAAGTCTATTCCTTTCACCAGGTAGGGAAAGTTTTCTGTCATTATTTCTTTCAATAGGCCTTCAATATCCTGCTCTTCTCTTCTTCTGGAACACCAAAAATGTGGATGTTGGTATGCTTGAAGTTGTCCCAGAGGCTCCTTACACTATCCTCACACTTTTGGAATCTTCTTTCTTTCTGCCTCTCTGGTTGGATGTTTTTTGTTTTCTCGTATTCCAGATCTTTGGTTTGACTCTTGGGATACGTTGATCTACAGTTGAGTTTCTGTATATTCTTCATTTCAGACAGTGTATGCTTAATTTCTGACTGGTCCTTTTTCATTTTTTTGCTATTCTCCTTAAGGTCCTTGAAGGTCTCTTCAAGTTTCTCAGTGGTTTTTAGAAGATTCTTGAGTAACTTTATAAATGTGATTCTGAACTTTGTGTCATCCAGTAGTTTATTTTTCTCCATCTCTCCCATTTGAGACATGCTTCTGTTGCCTCCCTGTGTTAATGGAGTAGCTTTGTGTGGTAGGTCACCTATAGGGGACAGTAGCTCAGTTTCCCCAATCACCCGAGGTGGTTGTTCTTGGTACACTTCTTTGTGGGCTGAGTGCAAAGTCTTGGTATAGTTAAGCCTTGACTGCTGTTGGTACACTGGGAGGAATTGACCTCCAGGCCAACTGGCTGTGAGGACCTGCTGGGTCTATAATGGAAGAACTGCTGTGCTGGAGACACGCTTATGGTGCAGGTCTTGTTTCAGTGGGGCTTTGGTGCTCACTGAGTCCACCTCCTGAATGTGTCACTCATGGATGTGAGGAGTTGAAATCTGGTGTCTCACACTGACCACTCGATACACTGGCTTCTGAATCTCCAATGTGGTGCAGTTCAGCTACTGTCTGAGGCCACCCTGCAGGAGCTACAGCGAGAACCACAGTCCTCTTCTCCCTTCTTGGAATTTGGAGGCTTTGGAGCTGTCTGCACCAGGTTGCAAATTTGCTAGGTTAAACTGCAATAGAGATGGCCATTCATATGCAAAAGCCATTGCTTGGAGCTTTGGTGTGTTTGTAGATTGTGCTGGGTGGAGTCTCAGGGCGTCTCTAGGGTAGGGCATGGCAAACAGTGATGGGTGCCAGTCAGCTGTCTCTGCCTCTCTGACCACGTCCCTGCGTCTTGCGCCTCTGCACAGCAAACAATTATTCTTATGTGCAGCTCTGAAAGCAAGCCACCTTCACTTTCTAATCTGATGGCAGATAGTCCAGCTTCTTTCCAGAAACTGGATTTCAGAGAGATTGGGAGCTTGTGTCTCTTCAGGTTGAAGAAAGCAATGCCCTCCGCCAGCTGGGATCTGCCAGCAGCCCATATTGTGTGTGCTCCCCTTTACCTCAGTTTTTCAGCCTTTGTGCCCTGAATGCTCCTTTCTCTTTCAGTCTAGCTGTAGAGCTTCCACTCAGCCAGCTTTCCCGTGGTTCTGGGTGATAGACATTTTGTCTTTTAGTTATAATTTTGAAATTATTGTGCACAGCAGCAGTTTAGGTGTGTTTACCTAAACCGCCATCTTGGATCTCACATATTACTCTTTTATTAGATAGGATAAGGCCTGCTGCATGGGTGGGGACCAGCTGGTTTGCCCTGAAGTGTGTTCTGGATCATGGTGGGGGTTCTCTTGGAGTATGGGGCAGCCTGGGTGAAGGGCCTGTGGTGGTTTTCATGCTGGCCATGCCCCCTGGCTACCCAAGCAGAGGCCCTGGTATCTGGGATTTGTTTATCTTCTATAATTGAAACTTTGTAGCCTTGAGTGGAGACCTGGTCCTGCCAGGGTGTGTGGAAAGCTTGGCAAGCCTACCTCCTGCTCACTTTGTGGCCACAGCCATCTTGGTTGGAGTTAATTTGCATTCTCTCTGATTGGCTGGTGGGCATGGCTTGTGTGTGTAGCAGAGTGGTGATTAATTTGCATATTATTCTTTTATTAGATAGGATTGATTTTTTACAGAGAGGAAGAGAGAGGAATAAAGAGTTAGAAACATCCATGAGAGAGAAACATCAATCAGCTGCCTCCTGCATACTTCCTGTTGGGGATGTGCCAACAGCCAAGGCACATATCCCTGACCAGAATCAAACCTTTCAGTCCACAGACTGATGCTCTATCCACTGAACCAAACCGGTTAGGGCTAGTTTTCCTGAATTCTTGCCATTTTTATTAAACAAATCCAAAGATATCACAGGATTACACTTCTAAATTTTTTATTATATATTTCTAAAAGAGACTTTACTTACAAACTTATAATGCCATTCATTATCTCAACCTAACATAATCATCATTAAAATTTTTTTAACTACAGATATCTAACCCTAAGTTAAATTTTGGCTAAATATTTCAAAATGAAATTAAGTTTATACATTGTACTTGGTTATTATGATCTTTACATGTACTTTAATTTCTGTATATTTCCTTCATAGGTTTTTTTATTTTCTTTTTACATTTGTGTCAAAAAATGGTTGACTTTTCAGTAGTTTATCAGTCTGGATTTCACTAATTACTCAGTATATTAATAAAGGTTTGCCAGAGAAACAGAGCCAATAGTATGAATCTAGAAAGACATTTGTTAAAAAGTATTGCCTCACAAGGTTGTGGAGTCTGAGATGTCCCATGATTTATATTCTTCAAACAGGAGACCCAGGAAAGACGGTGGTGTAGTTGTAAGGCCTGAGGGTCTGAGAACATATTGTATGGATTCCAGTGTGGGTCTGAATGACTGAAAACTAGGAGCACCCAGAATAAGAGATAGATGTGCTAGCTTATTCAGTCCAGCAGAGAGTGAATTCAGACTTTCCTCAGTTTTGGGTCTCTGTTTTCCCTCAGTTGATTGGATGATGCCCACTGACATTGGGGAGGGCTATCTGCTTAGCTCATCCGCATATTCAAATACTAATCTCTCCCAGAAATCTCCTCATAGTCACACCCAGAACAAGTTTTTCACCTGCTATCTGCATCTCCTGTGGCCCAATCAAGTTTAACATGATTATCCTTCATTGGTTTCTCCATCCCTTATATTTCCTATAAATAGGTGTTTTAGAACTCTGTAGAGGTTTAGGTTAATTTTTCTGTCAATACTCCTTTGCAAATAGTGTTATGTAGTCCCTTCAACAATTCTATGATATGTGTTTTGTCACTCTTTTTAAAAAATATATTTTTATTGATTTCAGAGAGGAAGGGAAGGAAATGAGATAAAACATCAATGATGAGAGAGAATCATTGACCGCCTGCCTCTGTATGCCCCACACAGAGGATCTAGCCCACAATCTGGGCATAGAACCCTGACCTCCTGGTTCACAGGTTGATGCTCAACCACTGAGCCAAATCAGCGAGGGCATTTTTTTCTGATAGTTGAGGCCAATGATAAATTTCCCTAGAACAGTTAATTCATTTAGAGTTGGAAAATAGATGACAGTCTTCATTGCTAACTCCTTCTTAAATATTGTCCTGGTAAATAATTTGGTTTACCAGAGATACTTTTTTTTTTATATAGGAATGTAAGGATTAATTGCTGATTGAACTGTTCTTTAAATGGCAATATTGTTCTGTCCACAGAAACCACATATGACTTAGATTGTGCTGAGTTTTTTACCACAAGGACTCTACAGCCCATGTTCAATTGGGGGAAAAGGCATTAAATACAGGCAAGAGTGGCAGGAAGTCTAGGCATCAACTGAAAAGTAGGACTCTTTTTGGACTCTCCTACTGTATTGCATACAGAGCATACTTCAACTTCTCACTTTCCTCACTCCTGGAGTATCACACTGCTGAAGGTCAGATACCTTCACTGCACAATGGAGTCTGCAGCCTCCCTTGCTGAGCTTCAGGCAGAGGCCAGTTGCCCCATCTGCCTGGATTACCTGAGAGACCCAGTGACCATTGAATGTGGGCACACCTTCTGTCACTCCTGCATCTACCAGCGCTGGGAAGATCTACTGGGCACCTTTCCCTGTCCTGTCTGCCTCCATCATTGCCCTAACAGGAAGTTGAAGAGGAACACCCAATTATGTCACATAATTGAAATTGTTAAGCAGATCCCCACCTCAGGGAGCGAGAGAAAATTACAGGAAGAAAAACCCCTGTGTGGGAAGCACAATGAAGTTGTAACACTTTTTTGTGACAAGACCCAAGAGATGTTGTGTCCTCATTGCAGGGCCCAGCAGATGCTGTGTCCTGATTGCAAGGTCCCCTTAGAGCACCAGGATCAGTCCCTGATACCCATTGAGGAAGCTGGTGCTAATTACAGGAGGAAGCTCAAACGATATATTGGGGAACTGATGGTGGAGATTGAAGAAGTTGAAACGGAATATGAAAAACAAATTGCAAAAGAATTTGAAGTGCAGAGAAAGGTGAGAAGTTGGAGGAAAGAATTGCAGTATGAATGTAAAGAACTGAAGTGTACCTTACAAATAGAGCATGATTTATTTAATGCTGGTTTACTTATAGAAGAGAAAGATGTTGAAGAAAAACTAACTGAAAACAGAAGACAAATTTCAAACCATATGTTCATGCTAAACAATCTTTTAAGTGAAATAGCAGAGAAGTATTTGCAGGCAGATGTGGATTTACTCACAGGTATTGAAGATATCCACAAAAGGTATGAAAAGCTAGAGACCCCAGCAGTCTTTTCATATAAAATAAAGAAGGAGAGTTGCAATCTTCCCCCACATTATGTGGGCCTGTATAAAATAATCAGCACATTTCAGGTAGATTTGACACTGGATCCTGAAACTGCCCATCCAAGTCTCATTGTTTCAAAAGATAGAAAAAGTGTTACATATAAGACACCAGATGGTTTTCTTAATCCCCAGGCACACAATTCTTACCCAGCTGTCCTGAGTTCTGAGGGATTTGATGGTGGCAGGCATTTTTGGCAGGTGGAAGTAAGAGGCACAGGTGACTGGTCCTTAGGTGTGTGTAAAGAATCTTGCCTCATAAATAGTCTAATATCACCATACCCAAGCAATAGCTGCAGGCACGTTGATCTTTGTGCTAGTATATGTGGAACATGCCTTAGAGGACACATCATGAGGGTTGGTATTTTTCTGGACTATGAGTTGGGAGATGTTTCATTTTATAATTTGAATAATGGATCATACTTGTATGGAATCACTGGTAAGTTTAGGGAAAAACTTATGCCTTATTTCTCTACTTCACCTTTGTCAAAATCTCTTTCATTTATTATCAGAGATGAATGATGAATAACTTGGAGGAAATTTTGTATGTGGTTATTTTCTTCCCTTGTTATTGAAAGGAATGCTTGTATAAAGATTCTGATTCCAGTTTTGATGTTTCTGGGAAGTATTTAGTATTCACCCTTCTCTTCTCCCTTTACCTCATGCCTGGGAAAACTAATGAGAAAGCTTTTGGTGCAGGTGGGAAGTTGCAGTGAAGCAAGCTCCTATAGTGCCAGTGTGCTCTCACCAATGCACCCAGTTACCACCATAAACAACAAACTATTCCCTTTTCCCTGTGCTCTCATTTTGGGACCTCCTCTGTGACCCACTTTACCTTCCCCCCCAAAACCTCATCATGTGAGTAATAAACTTTTTCATACTCTTCTGGTATGTGATGAGTCATCATCAGTCTGAATAGTTGAAACCAATTTTGGATGGCTTCCACCCTGACCATGCAATCTGGTCACCACCATTGGCATTGTGAACAGGATCTTACAGATATAAAGCACCCCCACCAGGCTTCCTCCTCTGTCTTTGGGTTGTAACATACTCTGATTCCCTAGGCAAAGGTGTCCTTTCAGCTTTGTTCTGCATTTGCTGAGTTCTATGAAGTCTGTGTTATAGATTTAATTGACCTAAGTCAGAGGTTTTGATAAGAAACATATTCTACTTACTTTTTATTATTTTCCATATAATTTTTGGGAATACCTTGTCCTACTTTTGTCTCCTGTTTTATAAACTTTTTATGTACAGAGATGAACAAAATCAGGTTGACAGTAGTGTTACAAATAATACAGTAATTAATAAAAATATCAGATTAAACTTTTGTGTACTAATTGTAAACATACTTTTGTATAAATATCCTCACCTGATGATATATTTATTGATAAATATAGAGAGAAATTGAGAGAGAGAGAGAGATACAAAGAGAGAAAGAGAGAGAAGGGGGGAGAGAGAGACATTGATGTGAGAGAGAAACATCCATCGGTTGCTTCCCATAGGCACCACTACCAGGGATTGAACATGAAACCTATGTGCCATGACTGGGAATTGAATCTGCATCATTTTGGTATATGAGACAACATTTCAATAAATTGAGCCACCTGGCCAGGGCTATAAACCTATCTTTGACTATCCTGTATGACCTGTGTTACATGGAAACCTATGGTTGGGCTTGGGCTGCCTGTCGCTGTGTCCAATAATGGAGGGTTGAATCATATTAGGTGTTTATTGAGAAGGCTAGACAGCCAAGGAGACAAGTTGCTTACAAGCAAATCCTGCCTCCCAGCAAGATTCAGGGGGACAGGATTATAAAGGGGGAGGAGCTGAGGTGAGGAATGTAGCTACATGCTAGCCTGGGGTCCGAAGACATCAGCTATTGTAATTTGTCATCGGGCGAAAAGATGATGCTGATGAGATGATGTTTTGACTCCTGGTGGGTTGGCTTGACCAGGCTGGTGGGTTCTGCTTGCTGGGTTCACAGCTGAGTCACCTCCCCAGTCCCTTCATACAGGCCTTGAAAAGGAAACTTTAAGAAAATCTTAACCCCCTATTCATATGTAAGAAACTTAATCCCCTATTCACATAAGTATGTGTTCTAAGAATTAAAATATATGGTTATTTTTCAGATTGATTCAGGTGCTCGATCTACGAGGTTATGGGTCTCCCCTATCACCTGCAAATGTCATATACTCATTTTTGATGTTATGTGAAATTGCCAGCCTTTTAGAACATGCTTCTGTTTGGATGCCTGTATGTGTATTGTTTACAATGCTTGAAAATAAAACTTTACTTTGCATATCTCTGTACTGTTTGTCTCTTCATAACTTGAAAAGATGCTCAGCAAAGTTTTCATTGAGGTACAAGGTACCACTTCACTGACCAGAGTAGCCATGATATGTTGTGGTAATCTCAGTTACTTAGCAAGACAACCTAGTATTTATTTTTGTAAAGTGCAATATGGGTTGGCAGGGTGCTATTCCATTTCCCACCCAGGAATCAAATTTCCTCAGCCATGTGTTGTCACACCACTGGGTCAGTACAGCTAGAGAAAGAGGGAGCATTAAAGGGCCACACTAAGCCTTGAAGGCCAACACCAGGAGGAGGCGCACACTTTTTTTTTCTTCCATTTTTTCAAAATAGTTTCAAGGTTCGAGTTACCTGTAAATGGTGAAGAATGCATGTATTGTGAGATGAAAAGCTACTATTTACCACAATTCCTGAATCCAATTAGGCATTAGTGAAATGCACATTAAAGATTAATCCTAGAATTAAATGTCTTTCATTATAACTTATAAGTAGATTAACATATACATTTACAATAGTTTCACTTAATCCTATAGCAGTTGTTTAATAACTTCCCCCAATAAAGAAGATATTTCTCTTTTTTTTTTTAATGTATTTTATTGATTTTTTACAGAGAGGAAGAGAGACGGATAGAGAGTTAAAAACATCCATGAAAGAGAATCATCAATCAGCTGCTTCCTGCACGCCCCCACTGGGGATGTGCCCACAACCAAGGTACATGCCCTTGACTGGAATCTAACCGTCTGGGACCTTTCAGTCTGCAGGCCGACGCTCTATCCACTGAGCCAAACTGTTTTCAGCAAGATATTTCTTTTAACTAAAGAAAGCCTTGAAACTTTCTGTATTTGGTAGAAAAATAAAACACTACTAATTTGAAATTTGATTTATTAGAAAATGAATCTTTGAAGAGAAAAAAAAAGAAAAGAAAATGAATCCTTGAGACTAATGTATAAACATAATGAGATAAAAAACATTAATGGAGAGACTTCTGTGGATAAGTAGCCTAGAAGATACCTTTTTTTTTTTTTTTTTTTAATTGTTATTTTAGCCGAAACCGGTTTGGCTCAATGGTAGAGAGTTGGTCTGTGGACTGAAAGGTCCCAGGTTCTATTCTGGTCAAGGGCATGTACCTTGGTTGTGGGCACATCCCCTGTGGGGGACGTGCAGGAGGCAGCTGTTCGATGTTTCTCTCTCGATGTTTCTAGCTCTATCCCTCTTACTTCCTATCTATAAAAAAATAAATAAATAAAATAAAATTATTTTAGCCCTAGGAAGATTGCCTCAGTGGATAGATCATTGGCCTGAGGACTGAAAGGTTCCGGGTTTGATTCTAATCCAGGGCGTGGATTTCAGATGCAAATCTCCTGGTCCTGTTCAGGGCTTATGTAGGAGGCAACCAATTGATGTATCTCTTTCACATCGATGTTTCTCACCCTGTCTCCCACTCTCTAAAAATCAATGGGAAAATATTCTCAAATGAGGATTTACAAAAAGAAAAAAAAACTTAATTTTAATTTAAAAATATATATATTTTTATTGATTTCAGAGAGAAAGGGAGAGGGAGAAAAAGATAGAAATATCAATGATGAGAGAGAATCATTGATTGGCTGCCTCTACTGGAGATAGAGTCCACAACCAGGGCATGTGATCTTGACTGGAAAGAAACCCAGGACCTTTCAGCCAGCAAGTGGACACTCTATCCACAAACCCAAACCATCTTGGGAATGAACTATCTTTTTAAAAAATAATTCTTAGGATCATTTTAGAGAGAAAGGGAAAGGGGGAGAGAGAGAGAAACATCAATTGGTTGCCTCCATACATGCCCTGACCTGGAATTGAAACTGCCACGTGGGCAGGTGCCCTGACAAGGAATCAAACTGGCCACCTTTCAGGTCATGGGGCAACACTCAACCAACTGAGCCACCATGACCAAGGCCCTAGAATTTACTTATATGACTGGAATGACATTGTGAAAGCGAGTGGTGCCATTAGGTATGTTTACAGCACTGTAACAATATTTCATTCGGCAGAAAATTCAGTTGCTATGGTTACTTAACCCTAGTACATCACTGGTTTAAATTTCAGTTAAACATGGTTTATGAACTGTAATTCTTAAATAGGAATAAAATGGACCCAGAGGATGGAGTCTCCACCCCAGAGATTACTCTCCTCAGCAGTTCATCACTTACCAAGTCTGCCTTCCGCACAAAGGTACCACACAACTAAGCTATGTTTTCTATCAATCAGCTTTTCTTCCGTGTCATATATCATGTTCCTCATTTTCCTCTGAGTTGTCACCAAAGGATGTTTCACATTCATTTTTCTACTGACATTTTCTGGAAAATGTATGTCTTCTCCAGGGCTAATTTATCTTATTTGTAAAAGCCTCACTGTTGAGCTGGTAAATCCTATTCCTGTGTGTAGTAAGGCTTAGAAGACAAAAATACTTAGGGGGGAGGGACAGAATCCCAATGGAATTGTTCTTTTAGGATAGGAAATTTCAAACATTTTATATCCCAGTCTCCTCTTGACACCATAACAAAAAGCAGTCTTATACCTGAGCTTACAAATTGATTGAAACAGGTTTTGGTAATGTCATTAGTCCTCTAACAGCAAAGTCCCTTGAATACTATTTCTATATTATTTATGTCTCTTTGCTTAAAGACTTTCTTCTTGGAAATAGAATTGAAATGAGTCAACTGTTTCTGCACTAGTTTTTTGCTTCATAGGAATCACTCTTTTATAGATTGGTAGAATATAATAAATATTTGAATTTTAGTTAAAATATATTTTACTGATTTCAGAAAGGAAGGGAAAGGAAGAGATAGATTAGATAAAAACATCAAGGATGAGAGAGAATCATGGAAAGGTTGCCTCCTGCATGCCTACCATTGAGATCAAACCAGAAACCAGGCATGTGCTGTCACCCACAAACGTACTTCGACTTCCAGGTTCATAGGTCCATGCTCAGCGACTGAGGCACACCAACTCAGCAAATGTTTAATTTTTTAAAAATGAGGGTGGTGTCAGCCATAATTGAAAATAAATTAAAAAAAGAGAAACACTGTAAATTTTTGGCAGTCAGTATAAAAACCAAATTCCCTAATAAGCAATATGACCCAAAGTCATTGATAAAGAATTTTAGAGCTCAAAGAAGCTTCTCGAAAATAACAAGACTGGGATTTGAAAAAAGAATGCCAGTGCAAGGGGTAA